CTTAGCACACAACAGTTTGCAAAACGCCAATTTCATATCGAGTTTTCCGTGTGTCAAACTGCATTTTCTAGGCTAGTCGTAGAAAAAATAAATTAAATAGATTGTTGTAGGTATGAAATCTAAAGTTGTCTCTTTAATTATTTTTTAAGTAAAATTTTACATACTACACTTCTTTTTAAGGTACTAGGTTTCGGTTTTAACGTTTATGTGAACTGTATCTTTGAAATTAGTTTTGAATCATGATTTTTCATAAAGTTGACAGAGAAATCTGACCAAGGATACTCTTATGGGAGTCCACGACTATCTTCTCCAACATCTATTTAAGTAATATTTTGAATATTGTAGTTTCTGTCTGTTAAATTTGTCAATACTATAAATAGAGAAGAAAACAACTGCAAAAAATATACCTAATTGTCAAATAAAATATAGGGCCGAGCCTTTCATGTTCCAACAAAAAAGTACTAAAATCATCTACAATACATTACACCACTTTAAAATCTGAAAATACATTTCACTAAACATTTTAGTTTATTTTTATATCATCAAACAAATACAATCATTTGTTGATGCTGACGTGGTTAAATTAACTTGTATTCGCATGTTTTAAATATTTTTAGAGTTATTGGATGAACTGTAGTTAAATCAATTACAGGTTCTCTATGCGATCACCCTGTATTATGTTATTAGTTGACGTAACACTTAAAAAAAAATATCAATGTCAACGACTTGAAATAAAATATATTTTGAAAAATGTTCCTTTGTTCTGTGTGCACAATGTCACAAAGTTGCGTTTCCTAAGAGAAAGGAATAACACACTAGATTATGCATATGCATATATGCCCACTCGGGGTGTAACATATGCTGGTTTAAAGTTTTAAGTCCTTATCATTTTACCGTAATGATAAAATGGCAAAACGGAAATGTTGTAGTTTTGTTTCGTTAAGTCAGACCGATATTATTCTTTCTCTATAATCAAAACGAAATGAAATTACATAAAACGGTAAACAGAAGTAAAAGTAAATTGCTATAAAATGCAACTAGTTTTCTACATAATTTTATCTGATCAATTTTAGTAACTAGTATTCTCCTTTTATAGTCCGGCTGTATTTAAATTTTTAAACAAAAATATTTTAAAAGCAAAAAATCTTTAATTCAAATTATAATTAATTTTGATCATTATATAATATAATAATCATATAATTGTTTTCATATAATAGTAGGTGTAAAAACTATTTTCAAGTGACGATAAAAATTAAAATAATACAATAAATAATGTAGAATGTAGAATGAGTAAGAGTTAGTTAATCACCGCGACCCTGAAGATCTATTGTGTACCCCTTTCTTGAGTTATTGCTCATTATACAGGGTATAACTCATTATACATGGAGATCTTCCTGTTGTAGGAGGGACAAGGTATTTTTCTTCCTCCCCTGACAACAGATGTTCATTCTGCGAGGAGTAGATATCTAAGAGGGTATACACCCTTCCACGATTGTGGTTTAGCCCTCCTTGCCCTCTTTTTTTCACAATCGAGTAGCTTGTCTCCGTTTGAGGTACCCGCGTGAGGTGGAGGCTGGAGGATCTGTCGCCATTTTCTCCACCTCTTTAACTTCGTCTTTTCTTAGACCTGATACCGGTGTGGCCCCGAATCTATAATAGAGGATATATCCCTCTTTCTTTATTGCCTCCTTGGATTTGAGGTCAATTACACCGCCAGGGTTAGTCGGTCCATTTCTACAGAGTCCCCCATGTAGAAGTACATGAGACAAGAATACAGTGGGTTGTCCATTGGTGCCTCAAGGTTGAGACCTATAGAGGCTAGTCTTCTATCTAGCCACGCATCTCATTCGGTCCCGCCATCATAGGATTTAGGTTTCTGGTGAGGTTATCAACTCTTAGTCCGGGCAGTTAAGCTAAGATCCCCCCACACCCTCTGCTCATGATACATAATCACAGAGAGTAGAGGGTGCCTGGTATGACGGATAGGGTAGTCTCATCCCGCATCGTTAGACGTCTTGGTGCAATACCCTGGCCACGACACTACAGCCAGGGATAAGACAATGAGATGCTCCTTAGACCCAGCCAAAGTTCCAGAGGGGATTTCCCCTAGAACCTGACTGAGAGTTTCCCCACCAACGATAAGGTCTCACATCTCCTACACAAAGATACAATAAATAAACAAACCCTCCTATAATTCAACAGAGCTGTCTTAAATTTTAAATATTCTTTTAGTTTTTGTGGTGTATATGGTATAAACGATGGGAACGAAATGTATGAAAATCAATACTTATCTGGTTGCTTAACAATGGACAAATGGGAATCGTATTTTAAAACATTACTTACCGAGAACAGAACATATTTTGAGGCAGGTAAAGAAACACAAGAAAGGATAACAGTAGCCGCATCTCCCCTCAGAATAACAACTAAAGAACTAAGGGAGACATGTAAAAATTAAAAAAATGGTAAATCCGCAGGCCCGGGAGATATACCAGGAGAACTGATAAAATATGGGACGGAAAATCTGTACCGACATATAACAAAACTCTTCCAGATGTGCATAGATGGCGCAGAAGTACCAAAAGATTTTAAAACCTCATATATCACGACGATTTTTTAAAAAGGAAATCGAGAAGACTGTGCAAACTATAGAGGCTTGGAAGTGACAAGTACATTAAGTAGACTATATGGAAAGATACTAAAGAATAAAATAGAAAATGAATATAAAGAGATAGAAATAGAAGAACAGGCGGGTTTTAGAGCGGAAAGGTCTACTGTGGATCATCTGTTTACCTTAACACAGGTCTTAGAGCAAAAAACGGCAAAAGATCAAGAGGTACACTTACTATATATAGACCTCCAAAAGGCTTATGACAGCATACCATTAAATAAATTGTGGGAAACGATGGAAATAACTAATATAAATGCAAACCTACTTAAAGCAGTTAAGAACTTATACCAGAACACCACAGCTAGAATAAAATACGAGACTCATTGTCAGAAAGCATAAAAATTACAAAAGGCCTCAAGCAGGGATGTTGCCTATCTCCTATACTATTCAAAATATACCTGCAACAAGCACTAAAAAAATGGATGCTTAAGTGTAGAGGAATGGGAATCCCCCTAATAAATGAGGACACCCTATACACCCTATTTTTTGCGGACGACCAGATAGTCCTAGCCCATAGACAAACTAACAAAAGCAAGACGCGTCAACGCTGTACTGCAAAACGGCAACAAGTTTGATAAGAGTTTATTACCGCGCTTGCGTCAACTGGCCTTTTAGACGAGGACGGTTTACTTATGGATTGTGTATTTTGTAGTAGTCTTTTAGACGAGGATGTTTTACTTATGGATTGGGTATTTTGTAAAAAGGATGTTTAATTAATAAGCGTTTATTAAAATCAAATACATTTATTTCCATTTCCATCGGTAAAATAAACAATAATTTCTGGACGTAACAGATATAAAAACAAAAAAGTCAAATAAACGAAAACGTATTCCTCTTTAATAAGAGGAATACGTTTTCGTTTATTTGACTTTTTTTTCGTTTATTTTAATAAATAACAAAAAAGATGATAAAAAAACAACAGTTATATGGCAAACGAAATAAAAGCATTATTCTTCAAAAGGTACAAAAAAATAATTATGTATATTATAATATTGATAATAGGAACAACAAGAAACATCTTAAAAATATACAACTTTTTCAAATATAAAACAAAAACATAAACTTCACATTTCCACAAGAATTTAAAAAATATTAACATTTAGAGTCTATTATAAAATATAAAGCACGAAAATTCAAATCATAACAAGATTTAAAAGATAAAGATTCTTATAACTTACAGTCAATTTGTAGGACCTTCGGTTTGTGTACGTTAGCGATGTAATCACAATAATATGTATAATCACAGTAATTATTATGCTCTTCATAAGTGTAAAATGTATTACATTACTTGTTTTCGTTTTGTAAAAATAATAGTAATAACCAATCAAAACGCAAAATCAGGAATTCAACAGTTCGTTCAAGGCAAAAACGTTTTTCGTTTTATTTAGGTTAGGTTTGACGAGTGCGACTGCGCGATGAATTCTGACTCAACTGGCCAGCGCAAAAACAATAATTCGACTTCCTCAATCGTTTGAAAAGTCCTGCTTTTGTTAGTTTGTCTATGTCCTAGCCCAAGATCACGACGACCTTGAATATATGGCAAGGAAGCTGATAGAGGAGTATAAGAAATGGGGGTTCGAGGTAAATATCACCAAAACTGAATGTATGACTGTAGGGGGGCCACAAGAGAACATAGTCTTAGAGGATGGAAGCGTGATAAAAAACTGTGACAAATACAAATATCTCGGATTAAAAATAACAACGATGGAAAACTCGACGAGGGTATAAAAGATCGAATAATGCAAGGCAGAAGGGCAATATCTATGTTGAATGGTGTACTCTGGGATCAAGGAATCTCTAAAGCTAATAAGAAGAACATATATAATACGGTAGTGAAAAGCATAATAACTTACGGAAGCGAAGTATGGCAGTTGAAAAGCAGAACAGAGAACATGCTATTCGCGACCGAAATAGATTACTGGAGAAGATCTACTGGAAAATCAAAAAGAGAACAAATAACCAACAACAGAGTAAGGGAGATTATGGGAGCAGAACACACAATTGTGGACGACATAAGAACAAAACAACTCATATGGTTTGGTCATGTGCAACAAATGCCCGATCACAGAATACCAAAACAAATTTTATTGTGGACACCTCGAGGCAGAAATAAAAGAGGAAGGCCGCCACGAAGCTGGAGGGAGGGTGTGGATAAAGAATTAGAAAATAGAGACATACCTGATGATCTCTGGCTAAATAGACAAGAGTGGAGGTTAGGTGTCGGAAAACGTCGTAGAACGTTCTGAACCGACTTATAATATATATATTAGTTTTTGTAGACTAAGTATAAATTCCATTTGATCAAAACTGTTACCTACTCTTTTTATTTTAGGCGCAAACCTTTGCCCTCCAAGATGGCGAAGGAAACGTTAGAAGACGACAGGATTTGGGTTCCGGAGGTGTGGAAGACATGATTCAACTGAGTGACCTACACGAAGCCGCTTTGTTATGGAATTTGAAACTAAGGTAAATAGAAAAAATATTCTACTTATATTCTCTATGTTCTCTATGTGAGGAGTATAAAACAACACACGTGTTATAACACGGTTTTAATCTTTTCTAAAAAGTCCTATGGGTATTTCGCCACTCGCACTGTAAGAAAATCTACAAAATAATAGAGACCATGCAACATGTCAGCGGTGACAAGTTGGTATCCGTTGGATTAACAAAAAATTGGTGTTTATCAAAAATATTTATTCTATTTTGTACATTTTCTTACAGTGCGAGTGGCGAAATACCATAGAACTTTTTTGAAGAGATAAATAAGCCGCAGAGGTATACCGATGCGTCTCAAAAGTGGCTCACCCCTATAACTTTTTTATTTTTTCAGATAAAAAACCAGATTTGATATGTTAATATATGACATAAATTAGGATTGATTGACGTATTCAAATGTTTTTCGTCACTTCCTGTTTCACCGGAAATGACTACAACTTTTGATTCTTAAATATATAATCCTATATATATATATATATATATAAATACTTTTCTTTTTTAATTGGTATATAATATTTTTACTTTATTCGGTAGAAAATGACACTCTGAATAGAATGACATATCATATGTAAACTTGCGAAAAAAACTTTTGACGAAAAAAAAATTAAATAGGTACTATTTTTTAAGCGAAAATGTCAAAAGTTGACACATGAGATGTTATTTTATTCAAAATGCCATTTACTATCGAATAAAGGTGAAATTAAATAATTATAGAAGTGAACCACTTTTGAAAAAAAAAACCGGTACCCGGTATACTACGTCTTATACCATTTTGCAGTATCTTAAGCAATTTATAAAAATATAGCAATATTTTTACATTGTGTTTCACTTATACCTACATACATAACTGTAAAGTTTTCCTTTACATATTTCAACATTAAAATGTAAATCTAATTTACGCAATTGTTGACTCGCGGTGTAAAAGAGCGTCAAGTAAAGAATAATATTTTTTTATTAAACAGAAGTTGGAATTATATATGAAATATTGTGTCATATTTATAAATCCTTGCCTTTACTGGCGCGTTTGTAATTCCTGTTTACAAAAAGTACTTTTTCTGTTCATTCCAAAATGGTTATATACCTACGTTACCGCATAAATTTTATTGCAAAAGAACCAAGATTTTTTCCAGTGGTATAAATAATTTGCAGTTAACTTTATTTGCAAATCTACCGTAAGAAAAAAAAAGTATATTCTCTAAAATAAATAATGTAATGTAGTTATCCAATTTTTATAGATTTTTCTTTAATTTTTTTATATTTCTTGTCCAGTTGTTTATAGTAATTAATTTATCTCGGATTTTTCTTCATAAACTGGTATATTTTTATTTACTTTTGTCCTTATTTTATATATTATTATAATTAATGACCAAAGCGTATGATTATATTCCAATAAAAGAACTTTTTCAAGTACACTTAATCGGTCACCAATAAATATTACCCTAATAAAGGCAGTAAAGGAAATCTACAAGGACCCGATAACACGAGTTAAAATTAAAGACGGACTCAAAACATCATTTAATTTAAGTAAGGGCCTCCGACACAAGGATCTTCAATTCTATTCTGTCTATCTTCAATTTTATTCAATATTTATCTATATTCCACACTGGAACAATGTAGACGAAAATGTGGTGGAATGGGCATACCACTCGAAAACAAAACGATATACAACCTTCACTATGTCGACGATCAAGTAGTTATACTGATGGCCAAAAACGTAGAGGACAACGAGTATATGTTTAGAAAATTAAATGAGGAGTATGATACATGGGGTTTACTACGAATAGATTTTAAAGACAGAATATCTGCGTGGCAACTAGGGACAAGATCTAGAAATGGAAAAAAGAAATAGAATAAAAATATGTAATGAATATAATCAAATAATATACATAATAATGGAAAAAGCGACAATATCATCAACAGCCGAATCTACAAAGCCAGAAGCATTACAGGAGCACTAAATATTATTATTTAATAATAATAATAAATTTATTTGCAATTCAGCAATATGACAAATATAAATAAAATAAATAAAAATAAGGATAATACAAAAAAGTATATAATACCATTTTAATCATAATTGCAAAAAGGAAGCTGAAAACAATAAAAATTGATATAGTTCAGCCCCAATAAAATATTTAAACACTTTTAAACATTGACATTTTTTTTTTAAATTGTTAAATTATCAAAATTTAAATCATTAATAACACAACATCTTAAATTTTTTTGACACTGGCAATCAAAAAATACATAATACATAATAATACAACCCAAGCCCACAGAAAACAATTCAGCCCTTAGTATTAAGTAAACGGGAACAAAATGTGAAAAAAAAAACAAACTCAATACATATAATTCAGTAGGCATATTATGTTCTAAGAGGGAAGAGTCATTAGCATATTTTTAAGTTTACTTTTAAAGCTATGTTTTTGTAAGACTTTCAGACAAGGTGGAACACCGTTATAAAGTTTAAAAACCTGGTAAGAGAAACATCGCCTAAACAAAGCGGTCTTGTATAGTGGCGGAGAGATAAGTCCCCTAAATCTTAAATTCAACGTATGAACATCCTCTCTAAACATCTTATTGGTCAGATAGGGAGGGGATCCACTTAATATGATCATATGAAACAAAACCATCGAGTGTAGCTCCCGTCTCTTAACCATATTCAACCACCCGGCATCTCCAAGCCTATACGAAACGGATTCATATTTCCTGACACCATAGATAAATCTTAAGCAGCTCCTCTGAACTATCTCAACTCTAGTTCTATCGACCCTGTCTAAGCAAGGCCCGTAAACAACGTCGCAGTAATTGAAATGGGACAGCACCAGCACTTCACATAACAGATTCAGATAAGATTTTTCGATGTGGATAGAGCATACTTAATGATAAGTATGCCCTTTTTAAACACAGAGACACATGCTCTTTGAAACGAAGTTTACTATCAATAAACAGACCCAAATTTCTAGTGCATTGGGTGAAACTCAACTTTTTACCTGCTATTTTAATTTTAATTGTATATATAACTATAGAGATATAGACAGAGATATAGATAACCAAGATAACTTGGGTCCGCATAGTCAACAATAGACAACCAGTGGACCCAACTACAAAGAGAGTATCTAAATATGTGAGGAAGGCTACACCATATTTAGAAATGGTTGAATAAGCTAAAAATGATGATTATGATGAAACAGAATATGAGTAGAAAGGCTACCAAAGAATATCATGAAATGGACACCAACTTGAAATCGAAATGGAGACACCGAGAGACATGGATAAAGGGGATAGCAAAAACAATGTCATTACGCAATTTGTAAGCCGATGGACAGAAGGCAATGGCGACAAGGACCCAGAAAGCAGATCACCCTGTAGAACCGGACTTAAAAAAATATTAACTGATATTTGTTTCACTGCTGTTTTCTCCATAAACAATTACGAATTATTAACAAAATAAATCGTAATTAAACAAAATTCATCCAAACAATGAACAAAAAAAATCGAGGTTGATTAGTGGCTTCGTTACGTTGTAATGGCGTGTATTACACATAATTAACCATGAATAATAGACCGTTTTTTCGATTGTTTTCACCGAATGATAGAAAAATAAAAAAAAAACGTTGTTGAAATATTTTCACTCTGAATTCGCGAATTTTATGCACTTTTTCACGTTAAGAAACCGTATTGCACTGCATTGCGGACGCACGCTAACTGGTCCAACGTAGTACAAAGTAGGACAATTTATTTTTTTTCTTGTTCTTTTTAGAGTTATCAATATGTATCACCAATTAAATAATTATACAGTGCTTTTATTTTAACTGTTAACATAGGGCGTAATATAATGCAATGCTATTCTGCTATATTCATTTTTAAAGTGGAACAGTCAATGCATTTGATTTGAATGAATAGTTTACTCAACCAACAATACTCGGTTAGAAAAAAAAATAATTGTTTTAAAGTAATTTATTTTGTTTAACTAGTTCTTACTCAAGAAATTGCCAAAAATTCTAATTTTGGATGAAAAAAATAGCTTCAATAATTGCATTTCATGTTTATTCATTTTTAGATAAAAAAACTGAATTGCCTGTCAATATTTATTCAATGGATGATAAAAGTTTAGTTATGGCATTGACAACACAGTGTGATTACAAATTACAATAATTAACCCCTACGTTCACAGTAAAAATAAAAGCACTGTATATTATTACTTAATTTAATTATGTTCAACTAGGAATAAACAATATTCATTTTTATGCGTTATGATAGATTGATAAATTATCTGATTTTATTAGTCATATTTGATTTTTAATTAAAGGGGGCTATGAATTTTATTTCTATGTAACTTAAATCCGATTTTGTGTATATTAGTATTAAATAAAATAATCAATATGCAAATAAAGTCATCTCATAACTAGTGATGAGCATGTTGTTTATTGTTCTTGTGTCAGATTTCCACAGATGACATCCAAAAAATGACAGACAATTGTTCCTGTCATGTATCTTCTCGGTGGACATACAGGGTGACCCAGGCCTCCAAAAAAACTTCTATATTAGGATTTTGGTTTGTGATTTTCATTGATTTTTTTTTAAGCAATGTGGGGGCAATGGTAACGCACATTTTGATAATATTTTTATCAACACACAGGATGATTCAAACATATTTTCAAACTAAAGTTGTATATTTTAAATAGAATACTATTATATTTCTTACCTCAGTAGATTTGTCATTTAATTTCCATTTCGAAAATAGTATAATGTATAACAACATATTCACTGTAATGTAAATAATTGTGATTGTTTGTATTTAAAATATTTATATACATATGTATCAAGCAGACAGTTGTATCGACTGACTAGTGAGAAAGAAAATCTAGGAACTAGTGGGATGGTTGGAAGGGTTTGGACTAGAATTTTGTACATTTTACTCTGTTTATATTTGTTCTATTTGTTTCTTCGTGTTTTTCTTGACTCTA